TTGGGGTTAAGTGACTTGCCCAGGCTCACACAGCTAGTACATGTCAAGTGTTTGGTCTGAGGCTGGATTTGAACTCAAGTCCTCCTGACTTCAGGGCCAGTGCTCTATCCACCAGTGTAGTTTGCTAATTACAGATTATGTTACTATTGTCTTGATTTCTTGAAACAGAAAAGTTGAGGGTGTTTGGTATTTTCACCTAAAACAGACTGAAATCATTTCCCTTGGTGGGATCCTCAGCTGACCCATCAGCACCCCATTAGATTCCTCACCCAGACAAAGGCACACCAAGCATTTACAGGCAAACACTGTTGCCTTCACCCCCTTGCTGTGGCTGATTACTTCCTGAACATCTGCAGCATCTCGGGCGTTCTTCTTTGTTGCAACCTCTCCTCCTGGCAGAGATGGGTTCTGATAAGCAAGATCTGTTTATTCAATTTTTTTTAATCAGGAGGAAACTGATAAGAATGGAAAATTCTTTAAAATGATGGGCAAGACTGACCAAGGCAGGGTTATATTTAGCTTTTGTGATAAAAACCCAAGCAGGCAACAAAGAAAACTGCAAATCAAAAATTCTGTGGCTATTTTCGAAATAGAATGGGGCAGGAGGGGAGGGTGTCAGGAATTACAGGATGGGGTCAGTGATGTGGTTTCCTGACTATGTGCTGATTCTTTATAAATAATGGGAGGAATAATAGCTGATCTACAGCTTTATATGAGGATTTATGTTTTGCAAAGTATTATGTACCCTTTCTCATGTTAGCCTTATAAAACCCTGTCAAGTAGATGTTGTTATCTTTGTTTTTAACAAATGAGGAAACTGAGGTTCTGAGAGGTTCAGATCCTTGCACATGGTTACTAAATGTTCAAAGCAGGATTTAAACTCTTGACTCCATGTTTCTAGACCACACTATGCTTTGTGTGTGTGAGTTGAGGTGGAGATGGGGGAGAAGAGGAGTAAGAAGAGAAAAAGAAGGAGAAGGAGGAGGAGGAGGAAAGAAAGAAAGAAAAAAGAAAGAGAGAGAGAGAAAGAAAACAAAGAAAGAGAGAGAAAGAAAAGAAAAGAAAGAAAGAAAGAAAGAAAGAAAGAAAGAAAGAAAGAAAGAAAGAAAGAAAGAAAGAAAGAAAGAAAGAAAGAAAGAAGGAAGGAAGGATGGGCCATGAGGAGCATTGAGTGTGAAGTCAGAAGATCTGCCTTCAATTCTTTGCTCTGCCAATTGCCCTAACCTTGAAGATGTCACTTCAATTCCTGGGGCCTCAGTTTCCCCATGTTTAAAATAAGGGGCTGAGCCCAGGGCTCCGGGATCCCCCCCAGCTCTTAGCCTGTGATTGTTCAAGGAAAAGCTGAAATCAGAGTCCGAGCTCTGCTGAGGCGCCCAGGGCCTCTTCTTGCCACGTTTGCCCTCGGTCATGCTGCGTTTCCTCTAGAGACGATGGGCCTAGGTGTGAGAGGTCATCCTAGGAAGGAGTGCTGAAAAGAGTTCATGGTGAAATTCTGTCTCCCTCCCCCTGACTCGGGTCCTTGGTGAGCCATTTCATGGTTTCCACCCCGGAAGCTGCCCAGCTGCAGCTGGACCCCTGGGATCTGCTCAGCTGCCTTCACTGTGGCCGGTTCCTCCTAGCGGGCAGGATGTATCAGAGATGGCTCATGTGAAGCAGTGTTAGTGCTGCTAAACCACCCTGGGCAGAAGAGCGACTTAATGCAGAAACTAACATGTTTTCATCCCAGCTGTGGTTTGATGCCAGAGCCTACGAATACCAACAGCAGTAATGACGTTTGTGTAGCGCTCTCTTTACCAAGTCATTTACATGCATTGTGCCCACACGCCTCAGTTTTCTTGGACGGCTGTTCATCCGGGTGGTGCCCACCAAGTATCAGTGCCCTCCCAGGCTCTCTCTTGGGCCTCCTTCCCTTCTCCCTCTAGACTACTTCACTTGGAGATCCTAACAGCTCCCATGGACTTCATTATCATCTGAGCCTCAGAGAGGGCCAGACCATAGCAGGACCAGGAGAGAAGGAGCTCTGAAGTGAGGGGAAGTTTCTAAGAGTTTTGTCATTTAAGGAACTGGATCATAGGACTCTGGCTGTGAGACTGGACAGGGTGTTAGAGTCACCTAGATCAGCCCCTTCATCTCACAGAGGAGGGATCTGAAACTCAGAGAGGAGGAGAGACTTGTCCAAGGTCACACAGTCAGGAAGAGAAAGGGCTGGGGGTGACTTCAGGCTCTCTGACTCCAACACTGGCACCCTCGGCGCCGTGCCACCCTGTCTGCTCCCCAGGTTGCTTAGTTAGGACAGCAGTTTAACCTTTCCATGTCCCGGGTCCCTGGGATTGTTTCTAGAGGGACTCTTCAATAAACAGTTGTTAAGTGTCTCTGGGCTAGGCACTGTGCTAAGCGTGAGGGATACATAAAGAGGCAAAAGACAGTCCCATCTTCAAGGAACTCACAGTCTAATGGGGGAGACAATGAACATATACAAAGCAAGCTACATACAAGATAAATAAAAGTGAATTAAGAAAGGGAAGGCGCTCCGTGCATCATTAAGAGGGGTTGAGGAAGGTGTGACCGTGGAAGGTGGGATTTTAATTGAGACTTAAAGGAAGCTAGGGGACAGCTAGGTGGCACCATAGTGCACAGAACGCCAGGTCTGGAGTTAGGAAGACCTCCTCCTGTGTGACCCTGGGCAGGTCACTTCACCCAGTTTGCCTCATTTTCCTCGTCTGTCAAATCTGGAGAAGGAAATGGCATACCACTCCAGTATCATTACCAAGAAAACCCCAGAGGGGGTCACGGAGAGTCAGACACTACTGAAATTACTGAACAGTCATGAAGGGAAGCCAGGGAGGCCAGAGATGAGCAGAAGAGAGAAAACATTCCAGGCCTGGGAGACAGACAGAGAAAATGCCCAGAGTTGCCTACGTGAATTCTCAGGGTGTGTTACAAGAGCGGGCCGGACGCAGTGCAGGGCATTACTCTGGGTCATGGAGAGGCCAGACCCGAGGTACAGAGTACTCAGCCAGTATTAGATGGCTTGGGAAAGATATCATTCAGGGCTGGAGGATGGAAAGAGGAAAGTCGTCTCTCCCTGTAAAGAAGTATCAGTGATTTTGGAAGGTGTTTTCTCTGTGTTCTCACTGGGGCATTGTAAGTCCTTGTCACAGTAAGACTGGAAAGGCCCAGATGAGTCTCTTTCCCAGGGTGTTACTTGCATGGATCCATGACTGTGGTATGAGCACTCTCTCCCCTGGAACCCAGCACCAGGCCTCTGGGCCTTCCCATTCTGGGCAACTCTTGATCACATCTCCCCGTAAATCCTCCACAGGGGCCTAGAGCTCGTCTTCCTTTCAGCAGTCTCAGGAAAGATGAGAATGTGGCACCCCATGGCCATGTTCAGGTTCTAGAACCTATCAGGGCCATCATCTGTTTATCCACTGTCCCCAAGTCCCAGCAATGACCTCAAATTGGGAAGAATCAATCACAAGACCTCAGAGCAGCAAAAAGGGGCATTTCCCTAGAATAGGCTATGCTCTGTATAACAAGATAAGAAGAAGAATATCTGAAGATGTTTGTAGGGAGTGCCCTCACTTCCCCTTCCTGGACCACCTAACGCCATCAGCTCTTCCCAGTGTGTTTTTAATAAATTGGGAGACAAAATGTACAATAGTGATAAACTGTTTCCTTTTCAGAGCTCCCAAAGATTTCTTCTCAACTCCTGCCTTTAAGAACACTGCACTTACCCTTCCAATTGTTCCTGGAGGTTACTGGATAATATGATTATGTAATATTTGTTGCAGGGAATGCATAAGCCAAGCCCTCCCCAGAAGCCTTTGCCTGCAGACCCTCTGAGCAAAACCAGCCGGCTTCATGAGGCCTCCAGGAGAGCGCCTGGGCAGCGGGAACCCAGCCATCGCATCATACCCACGAGGTTGGTTCTGTCCATCACCTTGATCCTTTCTTTCTCAGTCATCTCGCCAAACTGGCGTTCTGCAAACCAAGCTTGTCCGTTCTGTCCTGTGCTGACAGTTTAATGGGAAAGTTATAACAGAGACGCCAAGTTAAGAAGTAGAGAACATCAGCTATTTATTACTCATGCATTTCCAAGATTCCAAAGATGAGTGATGAAAAAATAAGCACAAATTACATTCACCAAATTGGTGGGTACAAAGCACTTTACACCCATTGTCTCATTTCATCCCTCAAACATCCCTGAGGGAATAAAGGCAGTTAAAATAACATTATACCCATTTTTCAGACGAGGAAACTAACACTGAAAAAAGTCAAGTGAATCGCCTATGTCCATGTGACTCATAAGTGGTGGGTCCAGAACTCTCACCAACCTGGCCCTAGAAGGCACAGCTAGAAGCAATGGGCAGAAGGGACTAAGCGGCCAAGCTCGGCTTGATGTCCAGAAAATCCTCCAAGCAGTTAGAGATGTTCAGAAGTGGGATGGGCTGCCTTGGGAGGGGATGGGTTCCCTCTCAAAGACAAGTTGGATGGCCCCTTCAGCAATGCCTTAAGTAGAAGATGTTCTTGTTCAGGCCCGAGTTGGACCAGATGGTCACGGAGGTCCCCTCCAGGCTGAGCTTCTGTCTCTCAGTCCAAAGCCCTTGCCAATATGCCACGTTATCTTTTCGTTTTTTAGTATTATTTTTTTATTTTTAGGTGATTAGGGTTAAGTGACTTGCCCAAGGTCACACAGCTAGTAAGTGTCCACATTATCTTTTCTTCAAGCGCGGGATCCCTGCAGCTGGAAAGGGTCAGACATCCCTGAGCCCGGCCTCCTCACAGACAAGTAGCTGCCTTAGACCGATTGGCACAAGCCTGGCAGCATACTCAGATGAGGCCCAACATGAAAGGTGGCACTCAGTATGGTACCCGTGAGATGACGAATACGAATGGAGAGTCCACAGCAGGGACGTTCCACTTAGCAGGACACTGAACCTCGTTGTTCCCGTTGACTGGGCAGTGAGGGAGGTGCTCACTTAATAAACTGGTGGGAAAAAGCTAGTAACTCATAGAAATGTCTGGAACCTGTCTATAAAGCTGACTTATGCAAACAGCCTTAAATCTAGGCAAAGTATCCTTCTGACAAGCAAACACCTAGCCCACTAGTCTAGAGCAAGCCAGGTGGTGCAGTGGATAGAGCGCCAGGCCTGGAATCAGGAAGACCTGAGTTCAAATTCAGCCTCAGACACTTACTAGCTGTGTGACCTTAGGCAAGTGCCTTAACCTCAGTTTCCTCAACTGTAAAATGGGTATAATAATAGCACCTACCTTGCCGGGTTGTTGTGGGGATCAAATGAGATCCTATTTATGAAGTGCTTGGCACGGGGCCTGGCACATAGTAGGTGCCTAATAATGCTTGTTTCCTTCCTTCTATCATTTTTTTATGTCAGTTTTCCAAAGAGGGGGAGGAAACCATGTTGGGGAGGGAGGTGGCCAGACTCCATCACACGGGCTTGGTGAGGTCACACGCACAGCTGAGATCCTCTCTTGGCAGGGAGCTCCCCACACATTTGCAGCTTTTCAAGTTCATCACAGCCGGAGGTGATGGGTTGGCTCAGACTGGGATCCAGTCATCCATCAGCACTAAAGGCGACAGAAGAAACTGCAGTGGCCTCATTACATTTCTGAGGAAGAATTCTTGGCCGGGCAAACCGCTAGCTAGACATTTCAAACACAGAAGATAAAGATAAGGGAGTCTGGGCAGTCATAGGGACGCTTTAAATCTTAACTGTGTGTGAACTTGGGAAAATGGCTCAGAACCTAGATTATTCACATCGCGGCTCTTAGGTCTGCGGAAGAGGATTTGTTTTTCCATTTGCACAGAACAAGCAAAATTGCTCCTTTAAATGGAGTGATCAGATGGAAAGACATTCACTGGAGAAGGTATTGAGGGAGGCTAGGACGTGCAGATGGTCCTGGTCCCTGCTCTGCTGGGGGAGGCATGGAGTGACATGGGGGAGGGTCATGGAGTAATCCATGGGAATTACTCCATGGGCAGGGAAGGGAGCACACGGGCAGTGACCCACTGCCCACAGGGCTCCAAAGCTCCTTCACCTTGGGCCCTCCCCCCGCTGTAAATTCAAGATCAGGGCAGGGGAGGGAGCACACGGACAACAAGCCTCAGAAGCCCCTTCACCTTAGCCCCTCCATTGTAAAGACAATGCCAGCTTTGTCCAAGAAGCTCCCTCGTGTCCTGGCTTAACTTGTCTCCTACCATCTTACTTCTGCCGTCAAATCCTTCACCCATATGACACTGCCATTCCCATCCTGCTAATAACAAAAACTGATATTTCTATTCCATTTTCAGATTTGCAAAGTATTTTATTTACATTATTTCATGTGACAACCTTGTGAGGTACGTGGTATTATCCCCATTTTACAAATGAGGAAACTGAGGCAAAGAAAGGTTAAGAGATCTGCTCAAGGGCACATAGCTGGAAAATGTTTGAGGCAGGCCTAAAACTCAGCATTCTAGACCATTGTAAGGACTGGTAGACCCATTTTGCAAAAAAAGAAACTGAGTCTCAAAGAGGTGAATTTACTTGTTCATGGCCAGACAGTTCTCTAAGCTATGTCTTCACTGTCTACCTCATCTTCAGCAGATGACCTCACCTACTTTTCTGAGACTAGAATCATGTAAGCAGCCATACAACAACGGGAGTTAAAGGATCTGAAGGGTTTTAGTAGACTACAAAATGAACTGAAGTCAAATGTAGTATGGCACCCAGAAAACTGGAGAGATCCATGACAGCTCAGTGGCGTACAGCCCGCCCAGAGCGGGTGTGTTATATTCAGTTCTACATTTCAGAACATGGACAAACTGGAGGGTGCGGAGGAAAGATGGCTGCCATGGTGAGGAGACTGGAAGCCTTGCGTATAGGGATCATATGGGAAGGGGAATCCTCTAAAGGCCAAGGCTCAGGGGAACACTGTAGCCATCTTCAAGTACCTAAAGGGCCCATATGTGGGAAAGGAATCAGACGCCCCTAAAATTGCTCCTCCACTTCTACTTCTGTTAATGACCCCGCCATGCATCCCCCAGACTGCACTCACCAGTGTTCTCTTTGATGAGGCAGGAGCCAGAGGCCCACGAGCTTAGGCTTCATCCTCAGTCGCAAACCCAGGTCTTCCAATATGGCGTTCTCTCTGTCCTATCCCGATGCCTCTGCTAGTGGCTTGGACCTGGGATTCCATCAGTGTAGGGAGTTCTAGGGAGACCCTCCCTCTATCTCCATATATTGTAACCAGTGACCTGGGGCCGTAAGAGGCTCGGGAGCTTGCCTACGCGGGCTCAAAACTCCAGCGGATGGCAGGGTTGGTCCTGGAAGCCTGCCCTTTCTATTGCTTGGGCTGGCTTGCTAGTCACTAAGCCGTGCTGCCTCTCACATAGTAGCCCCCTAATAAAGATGAGCTGAGTTGACTTCTGATAAATTTAACCACAGAAAATTCTCCCCAACTGACCGTTAACCATAAAGAAAGTGGAGACTTAGAAGGAAGAAAAAGGAGGGAGAGGTCAGAGGAGAGAAGTCTGACAATCTGAGAGCTTGGGAGATTTTCCTTTAAGTTATTTGAAAATAACAACAACAAAGATTGGGGGTGGGGATGTCCAGCTCTGGCCACATAGTTGGGATTTAAGCATCTGCTGGAGACAGGGGCAGACAGGCAGAGAGATGACTCAGAGGATAGAGGCTGGGCACTCCAGGAAGACCTGAGTTCACATCCTGCTTCAGACACTGTGGGACCTAGGGCAAGTCACTTAAACCTCTGTTTGCCTCAGTTTCCTCAGCTGTAAAATGGGGATAATAATAGCATCTACCTCCCAGGGTCGTCATGAGGATCAAATGAAACAATTGTGAAGTGCTTAGCATGGGGCCTGGAACATCTTGTTCGGTCATTTCAGTCGTGTCCCTCTCTTCGTGACCCCATTTGGGGTTTCTTGGTAAAGATACTGGAGTGGTTGGCCATTTCCTTCTCCAGCTCATTTTACAGATGAGGAAACTGAGGAAAACAGGGTGAAGTGACTTGCCCAGGATCACGTAGCTAATAAGTATCTGAGGCCAGATTTGAACTTAAGTCCTCCTAACAGGCCCAGAGCTCTACCCACTGCACCACCTCGCTTCCTGCTTGGAACAGTAGGTGCGATATAAATGCTTTATTGTTGTAGTTGTTGCTGTCATTATTATCAGGCAAGAGTCCCACAGGGAGAACTGGAGAACTCAGCATCCCTAGCCACTGCCCTAAGTAAATAGTTGTACATAGGCCTCCCCAAACGTCTCCTCAGATCAAAGTTGGCTTGAAGGCTGCAGGTTCACAGGCTAAAAGGCCATAGTAAAGTGGGTGGACGTCACCCTGCTCCTTGGAGGCAGCTTAGTGTACCTGGAGTCATGAGACCTCAGCTTGAATCCCAGCTCTTCTTCCTCATAGCCGTGTGCCCTCGGGCAAGTCCCTGAACATGTCTCGTTTGATTAAACCCCTTTGGAAACCATGAAGTGCTAGATATGTGCAGGCTATTATTGTTGATAACAGTAGTCATCATCATCATCCGGAGCCTCAGTTTCCTCATCTATAAACCCCTCATGAGGAGTTTGGCCTGAAGAGCCTCTAAGGTCCCTTTCAGCTCTAAACCTGAGCCTAAATCTCTTTACCTCTCCGGGTCTCTGCTGCCTCATCTAGAAGACGAGGAGGTTGGAGTGGGTGACCCCCGCAGGTCCCTTCCGGTCCCAAACCTAGCACGATCCTCTGGTGCCACGGAAGCTCTAAGGAGCACTCCAGGTGTGAGCTCTGATGCCTGTCCCAGGCGCTCCTAACAGAAGGGAGGGGCCCGGCCCGAGGAACTGTGTGTTTCTGGGCTAACTGGCCTGGCAGGAGTTCTCCAAAGCCCTTCCAGAGAAACTGCTGCCATCTTGGACCCCTTTCTTTTCCCATCTGTTACAGACCTGCCCCTCAGCATCCGCCACAAGCGCCCAGACCCTCCTACGCTGCCTGCATGAAATGAGAAGGAAACGGGCCCCTTGGTTCAACGGTGAAGACAGAAGTTTGCACTATCTTTCAGCTCCAACCGGAGTGCCTTTTTTGTATCAATCCTTCGAATGTTTGATGTTGAAAACACCATTGTTTCTAAGAACTTTGAGCTCCTGCCTTCAGTACTGTGCTGTGCTATGGTGCTTTGGGGACTTGCTCAGGTACTTTTAAATTATTAATTTATGATGAATATTTATTACGGTGCGGTGCACTGTAGTAGATATTTTTTTTTTACCATCTCTAAGTTTTCCTTGGAAGGAAATCTTCTCGTTGTTTTTAATATTTCAGTGAACTTGAAACATTGCGCTTTGTGGGATTCTAGGCCAAGGGTTAGCTTTCTTGATCTCTGCTTTACTGCAGGAGTGGCATGAATGGATAAGCAGCCAACTTCTCATCGTGATCGTTAGGACAGCCAAACATGTACGACCTTCCCAAGCGTGAGCCTTTCATTAAGCAGGGGAGGCCCGAGTTCTGTCTCTAGCCAAACGAACAGCAGGTGTCTCAAGTCAGCACACTTCTCTTTGAGCATCCCTTCCACACTTAGCTCGCAGGGTAGCACCAGCCTCCACTGATGTGGGCAAGGGGCATATTGGAAGCTCTACTCTAAACCAGTCGGTCTGCCTCCAGTGGCACAGGCAGGGAAGGATGCGGTTTCATACCAGGAATAATTAAACATTGGAAATAACTTCATCCTCGGGTGGGGATGGAGGTGGGACAACACTTGAGGAAGGTAAGGGGCAGAAGTGACCACCCAGGACATAATTGCAGGAGTCCTATTTCCTGCAATTGAAGCACAGCTTCTGAAGCTTCCTGGACTGACTGGTCACGAGCCCAGCCTGAAATGAGGCAGCAGATCCATTATTTGGCCACTAGGTTTGTCTGTGCCAAGTCACTCTTGATGCTTCTAGTTTTGGAGACATGTGAGAGCTGGGGTTCACATGCTGTTTGGACTGAGAAAGGTAGCATGTCTCTACAAGTTACAGTAGTTTGGGCAAGACTGTTACTGACCAGGTACTGTAAATAGTCTCCTTCCATTGCCAGGGGGCTAACCAGATCACCTCATTGTTTACTCAACTGTAATGCAGTCATTCTGGATTCATGTGGATGGACCAGCCTTTCCCTGGGCCCAGAATTATTTTCAGATGTGAACTAATAACTAGATATATCCAATCAATACTCTAGAGAAATTCCTTTTTTACTGCAGTGTTCAGGCTTATTAAAAACTGGTTATTATATGTGCATCAGTTCTAAGAAAATGGAGTCACGTATCCATTAGTATCTCCATGCATATCCCTAGCGTTTGAGATACATTGTATCTATCACTTATCACTTTTCTTTATAAAATGTTACCCTGGGTTTTCTTTGGCGCCATCTCCATCTCCCAGACTCGACAGGAGGAATCTTGAAGGTTCTAGCATATATAGGTTTTTTAAGAGCTCTCTGCATCTTCCTACCTGTTGAACATCACAGGATGGGAGAAAGAAATCAGTTTCCTCGCCCTAGCTAGGCATAAACCCAGGCCTGGCCAGTTACCCCTCAAACCCTCCAACCCACATGTAGAGAGCCAGCTTCCCTGGGAGAACTTTAAAAAGCTCCTGCCTGGTTCCATGGAGCCCACAAGAAAGACATCTTTGTTGAGGTCCCATTGTGCCCTCCAGGGCCCCCTAGTGGCCCCATCTGCGACTGCAGTTTTCAGCTTTCATGCAGCTGACCAGAGTTTCATAATTCATTTTAAGAGCTTTGAGATAAAGACTTTTTTCCTCTCATTTCAAAGGTTTTTCTGCACCTTGAGTCAGGAAAATAAAATGCCTATGGGCTATTTCTGGGTTTTTCTCTCCAGAAGAGTTGTATCTACCTTTCCTCATGCTTACCACGGTATCTAGGCAACAATGCATTCGTGTTTATGGATAAACCAGATGCCAGTCACCCACACTCACTGAAGCAGTTTGAGGATCCCCCTTCAGTCCATCTCAGCTCTTCAGGAGTGCCTCGGTTCATAACACAATGACCGGGTTCTTTCTGTTCATTCTGAAGACATGTTGGAAAATATTATTGTTGTGATATTTATAGTAAACTTGGGGAATCGCTTTAGTTGTTCTCTGCATTTGTATTAGGTTTGGTAATTGTGCTGAAACCAAAGCAGGTGCTATTGAAAATGTTTACAAAATGTTTGGGGTGCATTTTGGGTATTCTTTTGTAGAGTGATATTAATGCCTTAGGTCTGGCCCCTCCTACTGCCAGCAAGAGGATGCCCACTCAAAACAATCTCCTTCTAGCTGTACTGTCTGGGATTGTAGTTATTCAATTTATGCAAATAATTTTTTAAGAATATTAAAGCTGTGATCTTACTTCCCATGATTAATAGCCATTTGGGGCTGCCAATGACATCTATATTTACATATTTCTGATGACTGATATGAGCCACTCCAATGAGGTCCATTTTTAAAATACCCATAAATGGAGAGCTTCCCTATGGGGAAGCAGGAATTCTTATGAAAGGGGCACTACTAGAAGTACTGTATCTATCCAAGTAAGGCATTTTATGTGGACCTTTCATTTCAATATGATTTTTTGCCAATTCCCATGTCAGGGTATAGTATAGGGTACTGGAGGAGAGGGGCAGGCAGAGGGGAAGATCCTTCTTCATAAGCAGAGTTCAAAACAACAACCAGAGTGTGTCTGAAGTGGTTGGATTATTATTATTATTAATTTACTGAGGTATGAGCAAAAATCAGCTGCCATACCATTATCCTAGGATATTTGTAAACTTTTTCAGGGGGATCACCAAGTAATTCTGAGTTGTAGTTCACAAGTGAAAAACTTCTCTGTTCTAACTAGTGAAGTCTCAGTCTCTCATAGTGGGAGGTCTGCAGCTTGGTTTTTCAAGCATTTAATTTAGAATTCACCATTTAAAGTTTTTTTTTAATCCATTTGTTTTCCTGACATATGGAATCAAGCCTGATGTAACAAGGAGGCACAACACACAACATTTTCCATTATCAAAATATTTCAGCGGGGGAGGCTCTGCTACTCGGTCTGAATCTCTTCAGCTCACACATGTGCAGTGACATCACACCAACCACAAAAGTAACAAATTAAACTACAAGAGAATAGCTGCTCAGGCAATTCTCAGAGGGAACATTTTTATGCCTCCTTGACTTTATTAGGAATCCTCGGACTAAAACGACAGACCATTGTTCTGGAAAACTGGCAACCTTTCCCACCCTCTCAGTACTGGACAGTGTCAATGAACAGTTCAGAACATGGCATCCCCATGAAGACCAAGGTCTGATTCTGGGATGCCCTGAATACCTGGTTTGTAAACTCAACTTTCAATGAATGTTGCCCCAGCCATTTGAAGCGATGAGTCACTTCCAGAAAACATACAGGAAAGAGCCAATGGCTAGCCAGTCTAGGTCTTTCAAACACAATTCAACCTTTTTTTTTAATCTTTCCACTTTTTATTTATAATTTATCTAATTTTCTAGGGCCTCATACAGGGCCAGCCCTGGGCAAAATTGTGAAGTGTCTCCCACTTCCCCTTTTTTACAGGGTCTGATTTCCTATCTTTACCCAGCTTTGCACCCTTCCTTCTGGGGCCTCCAAGGCCTTCATCACTTACACCAAAACTTGCTGACCTTATATCAATGTTTCAGGGCCCTTGACCTCTGATTAGTCATTCTTAATAATAATAATAATTATAATTATAATGAACACCTACATATATATATAAAACACTATATGCCAGGCACTATAGTTAAGTGCTTTATAATTATCTAATTTGATCCTCACAATAACCCTGGGAGGGAGGTGCTATTATTATCTCCATTTTACAGATGAGGAAACTGAGGTTGTGATTTGTGCAGGGTCACAAAACTAGTAAGTATCTGAGCTTGGATTTTAACTCAGGTGGTTAGGGTTAGGGTTAGGGTTAGGGTTGCTCCATCCACTACTCTGCCTTGCCATTCCTAGACTGACATTATCATGCTAGCAAACACATGGGGGATTAATGAGGGCTTTAGTGGTCATCACCTCCATCCAGGGGAATGGCATTCTGGTGGGAATTCCAGGCACAGTGACAATTCGATGGAACAGCCAGCTGCCTGCCCTCCTTCCATGACTAGCTAAGTCCTCTTCTGGCAGGGCATTCACCCACGAAGGGCAACCACTGAATAAAACTTCACACAAAGGAGCTGCTGAAACCCAGCTGCTCACCTTGTCCTGTCCCAGCCCTGAAAACCTGTTTCTGATTCTTCCACGTATCTCATCTACTTGGAGAGCTCCCCCACACCGAATGGGTCAGCGAAACTGGTGATCCCAGCAGGCTGCCACCATTTCACAGATAATCTCGATTCCCTGGCTTTGCTGGTTCTTCCTCTGGATGATTTATCTGCTAGGTCCATTCATACAGTTCCAAAAGCATAGAATTTTCCATGGCCTTTGGCAAATATGCTATATTATTGACCTGTTCGACAAAGGCTCTGCCTTGAAGGAAATCAGAGTCCACCAGGGGTCCTTGAAAAAAACTCAAGAGCATTCTTTGTCCAGGAGAGCCGAACACTGAAATCCCTGATTTTCTCCGCCTCTGCACTCTTCATGCATCTGCTTCAAAGTAAAGCAACGAGATTAGAAATTGGTGTCAATAACGATGAAGGCTACAGTCTGAGAAAGATGTGAAAATCTGCCTCCTCCATACCATTCATTGTCATTCTGAGATGTTTCCAGGCAGGCTCTTTGCCTGCAGAGAGAGGTCTTCAGACTCCTTCCTAAATTATCCTATTATCTGAAAGTTCAATCTCACCAAATCTATACAAGATGAAGTGTTCCTTTCCCTATTTTGGGAAGAGCGATGGCAGGAGATGTTTACCAGCTCCTAAGGGTTTCTTTCCTATCTATCTGCACTTAGTATTTTTGGCTGGAAACATACCCACAGGGACAGTGTCTATTGAGAGTCAGAGGGTATCAGCTGCAGTATGAGGACAGACCCATTAGCCAGCAGTGGGGAAAACAACAAGTCAATCCCTCAGGCTGACTCGGGGATGCCCTGTAAACAGTTCCCCCATCCCACATTGCTGTAAACAACTCTTGTTAACAGAATTTCTCTGGGGCCTCCTTTTTCCAAAGTCCACAATTCCTCCCAGGTCTAACTAAGCCGGTGCAGAACCACAAATGGGCAGGAGATTATTATTTTTTTATGAAGTGAAGCATCTGAGTGCCACTGGCTGATGGTAATGATGTCATTGGCAGTCCCAGGAAGACTTCTGTAAAGCACTTTAAGGCTCTGAGATAACATAGATGATAACAAAGGCAGGACATAGGTAAGAGTTCTGTACTTTCGGTCGGACGGGCTGGCTGTGGAAGGGAAAGGAGGGGGGTATGGACAAAAATTCTATTGTTTTTAAATGTGTAGCAACTGCCAAGTGTCGTGTCTGAAACGGTTGGTGCTGGTGCTGGTCTCGGGTCAGTCCAAGGAAGTGGCCAGCCGCCTCCTCCAGCACGTTCCTGCTAGCATGCTGCATCCATTTATAAAGCTTTTATTCACTAGACTTCTTCACAAACTTTCTTATGTTACAGTCGGTGTTACTTTTGTACACATTCCTTGTATTAAGGTGCTACAGGTGAATACAACCTGGTGTTTCAATAGAAAAGCCGTCGTTGTTAAGAATACTATATCCAATAAACCGTGAACGTGTAGGTACAATTTGTCTCTGTCCTTGCCGAGGATGTCCCCAAGATATTGGGGTGGGGATGGGGAGAGAGAGCAAATTAAAGACAGATGTCCAGCACAAAATCCACTGGGCCCTGGTGAGAAGGAACCAATCCAAACCAACCTACTCAGCAATTGTGAAGCACCTACTGTGTGCGAGACCCTGTACCCAAAATGGTCACAAAAGCATTTTCCTCCTTTTGAACTCTAGGACAGGGTTGACAGCAGGCTCTGGAGCAGGCTAGGATAGAGGCTCACAGGAAAACGCTCCTTGAGCCTATGGAAGGTTGCTGCACCAATTCTATATTGATTCTGCGCACTCACCTTGGGATAAAAACCAGAGGGGAAAATGTTTGTGGGATGTTTGATTTGGTAACAAAACTGGAAACCAATGTTTTCTGATGGATTAAAACAAAGAGTAGGGACAAAATCCTTTTACTTAAATAAAGTGTGACTTTGAAAACCCTTGCAGCACAGCACGAAGATGCTATTCAATTGCTTAGGGGGGTGGGGTGTTTCCAGGGAGCTGTTTTCAATGGGATGTTTCTTCCTCGCCGTTGATTGGCTGCTCTTTCTTGACCCCCCCTCATCTTTGGAAAGGCGCTAAGAGAAGAAGGTGTGGTTCCTGGTTTGGGGAGTTCCTTGGCCCGTGATACTTCTCTAAAAGGACAGACCACATGGAGCAAATAGAACCCCCCATTCAGGGCAACATTAGGAAATACTCTGACCCTTTTCCCAGGGCTTAGGCCCCTGGGACAGCCACAGGGGATAGGGTGTTGAACTTGGAGCCAGAAAGACCCAGGTTCAAATCATGTCTCGGCTTCAGGGTTGGACCCGATGACCTCTTGATGACCTTCCAGTTCTACATTTGTGAGTCTATTAAAACTTGCAAAACCCGGCATTTTGTGCCCAAATTTCTTTAAAAAACAAAAGCTCTAATATTAGCTCACGTTTCTATAGGACTTTAAGGTTCACAAAGAATCTCCTATTTGTAAAATGCTTTGATCCTCACAACACCCTCTTCAAGTAAGCATTATTATTATCCCCATTTTTCAAATGAGGAAACTGAGACCCTAAAAGTTGAAGTGGCCTGCCCTGTGTCAGAGGCAGAATTCACACACAAATCTTCTAGACCCAAGTCCAGCTTCCCTTCCACATGTCACTGCCCAGTATGCTGGTAAGGAAGGCATGCTGAAGAGTCCATTTGGTTTTTCCTAGTGAAACTAACCTTTGATTGTCAGGCTCTCCTTATCACATCACATATCAAAGGTTTAGGGTTTTCCAATGGGGGGAAAAAGGCTCAGGCCATTGACCCACCCACACGTTCAATCTCACTGGCACCTTTTGTCTCTGTCATCACATTAGAAACTGATAGAGTTGGGAGTTGTTAGTGGCCTTTGTCAAAAATGAAATTCACAAATGTATCTGTGACCTGGAAAGGAAATAAATATGGAGGACAGAAAAGGCTTCCAAAAGTCACTGAGAGAATGTGTGTGTTTGTGTGTATGCTCTTTTTTTTTATTTTTAAAAAGTTTCTACTTGACGCAGTCAGTCATTTTGAAAATCACTGATAAACCAACTCTCTCAGGTCTTTATAAAAGGGTGTAGAAAATGCTAATAACTATAACAAGGTCGCAGGGGAATGGTCTCTGTCTGGGACTTGCAAGTCTGGCTCCAAAGGCAGCTGTCCAAAATGTGATACAAAATCAAATGGAGGTTTCCCAAACTCAGTAATGCTGACCGGCACTCTTCTCTGCCCTGCCCTGCCCTTAGCTCACATTCATCACCTTTTCACTGATCTTTGCCCTGCTGAGAAAATCCACCCTGCTGACTGCCAGCCTCTGGGGCTGATCAAGTTCCTCAGCTTCTCTCCAGCTGCAGAGCACATTGCCGGCTAGACACACGTTGCATGGATTCTAAAACATGGCTCGCTTAAGGACTCTGGCATTCGGCTTCTTGGGCTGGGTCCTGGTCTTCATTCCACGAAGCATTTCCTTTCACCTCTGCCCTGAAATGAGCTATGGGAATTTTGAATGATTCCCACTGACCCAGGCCACCTCCCATCCCACCTGTGCCTGCCCACCCGACTATGACAACAGAGAGGCAAACGCAAATCCACGTAGGTACAGTGTTGGGTGGCATTCTCTCCTCCCTGCCCACTGCCAGAGAGGACCAGCAGCACTTGTGAAGGCAGGAACTGCAAAGAAAAAACCTTTTCATGGAAGGCCCTGCTTCAACACAAGGAATGGGCCAGCCCCTCGAGTGAGCACTGAGGGCAGTACTTATCACTGGACAGGGAAGTCAGGAGGCTGGGGGAGCATCGAAATTGAAAAAACCATGAAGGAGAGAATTTCAGGGGCTCCTCGAGTGGCCCAGGGGACACCATGAGGAACAAATGAATGTGTGTGTGCCTGTGCCTAGGGCCTAACCATCTGGTTTCACATCTATCTCCAAAAGGACAAAGGCAAGAAAACATCCCAGCAGTTGACTGTACAAAGATGGCGGTACATACATGTACACACACATGCACACAAACACACACATGTGCGTGTGTAGGTAAAAAGATGTATTTGAACATGGGAACAGTTGCATGTTCCAAAAAGTCACCAAGAATCAACAACTAAATAAGCAATTGGTATCACAACCTTCCTTCCCAGACAAAGGACTTGTCTAAAGCCCTGTGTCCATGGTTCCATGGCCTTCACGTGCACGTCTCGAGAAAAGCAGCTCTCAGCTTAGCTCAAGAAAGAGGTCTTCTTCAGACTGGGACTCATCTTCCGGTCTTCTAACAAGGCAATCACATTCTAGATAAAGGAACAGGGTGAGGAGTGAGAACCAGGGACTCCAAATGGCACGAACCCCAGGGAGCCACCCCAACAGGTAAAACACCATCCCTGACCTGTCTGTCAAACACACGGGCCATCTCCAGGACACCTTTGCCAAACTGAAAGAGAAAGCAAAGAGACTTTGTTTTCCTCTCTCAGTAAAATCTGTGAGGAAAAAAAAAAAAGCAAAGTGTGGTGCTGTCTATGTACCTCATTTGTAACACTTGGATCGGCTCCTTTTTCTAGAAGTAATTGAACCAATTCTTCATGATTATTTAATACAGCCACCTGAAAAAGAATCCCGGGGAGGGGAGAAGATGCTAAGCAGCTGGGGCTTCCCAGCCAACACTGGAAGAAGGACCCTGGACAGCTCTTGAGTCAAGTGCCCGGCCAATGCCCGCATGCACACCCTGCCCCACCCCACCCCCCCACCTTCACAAGTGTTCTCTTTCCCAACTGGGAAAGATGCACATTATATTAAAATGAAATGAGAAACTCTGGGCCTGACCAGAAAACCTGCATTTCACAAACCAACAAATTTGTTTTGCATCTTATAATGATTTGGGGAATGAGTTTTAGCAAAATCTTGTGTTTTTCCTAACAGCCCTTCTGAGAAAGAAGGGCTACCATGGCCCCAGCCTGATGCCTAGCTGAGCTGGCAAGAATGGTCAAATTCTGGAGCGATCTTTGGCCTTAAGTGCAAAGACACCGTGAGGCCCTGGGCGATAAACAGGTACCATTAAGGGTGTCTTCCCGTCCTTATCTTTCACATTCACGTCTGCTCCAGCTTCAATTAAAAGGGAAGCCACCTCTTTGTTTCCTGATACTGCAGACACTCTCATCAGCGGTGTCCAGCCCGAGCCAGTGTCTAAAACATCTATCTGAAACACAGAGAGAAATGGTGCTTAGCCTTTTTTTTAAAAGTCATCATCATTTAAATAAAAGCATAAGTGATATTGACTCCACCAGCTGCCTACTAATTCAGATAAAAGACTTTCCGGACTCATTAAGACGATGGAGATTTGAAATCATGCCCAGAAAATCATGAGAATATCCTAATCCGATTTATTCAAATTCACGCAGAGCAAGGCCCCAGACCCGATCAAGACAACTTGAGGATCAGCAGGCCCCCAGGGAAGCTCCTTGCTGAGCTCTGCCTCTGAATGCCCTTTCAATGACAGGGGAGGCCACAGAAAAGCCAACTACCCCCAGAGTCACTTCCTCAACGAGCTCCTCAGTGCAAAGATCCTTGGAGCTCTCAGACTAGTAGGACCGGCCAGGGCCCCCAACACCAGTCTGTCGAACCCTCTGACCTGGCTCCTTCTCCAAACAACACGCTATGCATTGCAGGCCCATCCAGTGATGAAATGAACATTTCCCTTACGATCTCTGCTCCACGCATTAAAATTTTCCATCAACTTAGCAAAGGGATAACATTTTTTATAAACAAGAAACCTAAATACTGCTTCTTCCCTTAAATATAAGACTTTCCAGGAGAGTAGAATAAAGGAATACAGGTGATAAGTTCTTTGAAATTAATGAGGCTGGTTCTTGCACAACATACACCTGATGCATCCCCTGGGCTACAGGTCGGCTGGAGATAAAGACAGACAGACCAACAGACAGAGGAGGGAGACCTCTAGAGACACAGAGAGAGAGAGACGGAGAGATAGAGCGGAGAGAAAAAGAGAGAGATTGAGAGACAGAGGCAGAGAAAAAAGAGAGACAGAGAAAGAGAGACAGAGAGACAGAGAGAGATAAAGAGATGGAGACAGAGAGGGAAGGAGAGAGACAGAGACAGAAATGAAAAAGAGTCTTCCAACCACAGCCACTGGGAACTCCCAGCCACTATGTCTTACAGGGGCTGTGATCTGCGTAAGCAGAGGATCTATCCCCACTGACTATGTCCTGATTAGAGACCCTTGAAGCATTGACATAAGCAGTCTGCAAGAACCACTGAGTGAGCGTCTTTATCTTTCAATCACAGCAACACAATGTCGTACATATTCCAGTTAAATGCAAAGTTGTATCTAAGGACACATTTTTTCAACGTTTAACCACAACATAGTCTCAGAATGCATCCTCATCTCAAATCACTGTAACCTTGGAAATGAGGCACAGGGTTCACAGACTCCATATTTAAAGCATCAAGTCCCTTCAAAGAGCAATACATTCATTCAATGAGCTTATATAGGAGGATTAAGCTCCTATTGTGTGCAGAGGAGTGCGCCCCTGCACACATGGGGCTTACAAGCTAAATGACTGCAAAATCGCTAATACTCGCTAACATTCACCAAGGAGCCAGTGGCCCACGTCAAGTCTGAGGATCACACTGGGCTCGTTTTTCCCATTACTGACCCTAAAGAGGCCAGCTCCTTTTGTCGGTTACTTCTGTTGGTCCATCTATCATTCTGCTCTTACTCAAAAACTTACTGTCATGCTGGTGGGAAAGAAAGTATTTACCTACAAATAAAATATGTGGACCAAAGATCATTTGGTCTTTTTTATTATACCTTAATTAGGATTCAATCACTTAACAGATAATGATAATTGTCATCATTCCAGAGGCCAAATATTGCTAACAAATGCTCTGTATCCTCATCATCAACCACTGAGTTAAACCACCCAGATTTCTCCCAGGTCCCACAACTTGGTCTAGTAACACGGGAAACCGAGATGAATCATGTGAGAATTTGGTGGCAAAAGGGAAGGGCCCCGATTTATTTCTTCAAGGAAACCTCTCTCCTCACCCAAGCAAAAACCCAGACAAGCCCCAAACGGGAAACTGAGAAGCCAATGTGACCTCTCGGTGTAGGATCCGTGTGCCCTCCATCACACCTCAGAGCCAAATGCAAATAATCTACCAGGCTTTTTGGGAGACATGACTTTTCTTAATCTGAGTTTATTTTCTAGGCCATCCATTTAATTTCTCAGCACCTGACAGTGTCTGACAGTCTCAATCAGGGGAGAATCATGTCCATCAATCCTTAACTCCATGACTTCAAATTTTTAATTTAACTTTCTTATGGTCCTGAAATAAAGTCTTCAAAGTTATCAGAGGTAACTAAGATTGATCAAATTCTCTCCGCCCATCTCCTAATAACTGGGGGAAGCTGGGTAAGCACTTCCACTTGAATTGACTCCCTTCTGTAACATGGCCTCAAAAGTGGATTGGTATGCAGGGGTTCTGGTAGGAGACTCTCAGAAGGACCCACAATACTGGGCTATTGACAAAGCCTGGTCTTGTGCTCAAAGATGCATCAATACAGTTGGGAGAATCTCCAAGGCAAATCTAAAGCAAAACTTTTTTGTAATTTGTAATTTGTAAAAGCAATTCAACTGGCTACAAAAATAGCCCTCTCTTGTCCATTCCCCAGGGATCCCTTTTCCCAAAATGGATGACCTTCTGTGTGTTCTCTAGAAACTCCGTGACCATCCCAAGCATCTGATGGCCTTCTCTTCTGGGCCCCACCAGCTCTTCTAAAAAGCAGAGGGACTGGTGGGTCCAAATGGCCTGAGGTGGCTCATTACATAAGGCCCTACATCACCTTTGAGGAGACAGCATTGTGTCCCTACCAACCTTAGGGGTACTTTGCGAGTTTAGACAATGCTCCTTTTGCTAGTAGGTGGAACACTAATGAAAACCCATACCTTGCAACCATCCTTAATCATCCATTCAATGATGTTAGAGTGGCCTCCATCAGCAGCCCAGTGCAAGGCTGTGCAGCCTCCCAGGTCTCGGGCCTCCCAAGAGGCTCCATGTGCTCTGAGGCATTTGACCACATCCAGGTGTCCAGCATAACAGGCAAGCATCAGACTGCAACAAGAAGGGCAAGCATTGAGGTGATGACCTGGCCACGGGGAGTCACACTGACCACAGACCCACCCCTAATCTGACTTAGCCCGACCCCAAGGACACCAGTCTGGAGGAGGGGCCCCTGGGCATTCCTGGAGGATGCAGATACCCAAGCTGCATTGGGAAGTGAGACAGAGAGGGCCAAGATGGCAGCCCCAATGGAATGGGGGCCCAAGAAAACAGGATCAAATTCTCCAGATTAGTCTCAGGAGTCTGTAGGCCCTCTATAGGCTGCCAGAAAGTAATTTCTCCTTCATCCTACATGATTCACTCTCGCCCCAGCAGAAAACCTGAGCTCCAAACACAGGAAGAAGTTGAGCACAAGCACGAGGGCTTTTTGAAGGCTGTAAGGACAGACAGGAACTTGGCTTAAAACATTCAAGGAGCAATTACGAAGTCCCCATCTTTTGCTTGCTTAGAGGAAATGTGGCACAGTGGATAGAGCTGGTATCAAAGCCAGAAAGACTGGGTTCAAGACACATACTAGACTTACTGGGCGAGTCACTTATCCCTTAGTACTTTAGGCCAGGGATGTGGCTTGGGAGCCAAATATACAGCCAGGTAGCTAAGAATGATTTTTATGTTTTTAAATACCAAAAAAAAAAATCCTGAAAAATATAAGAACCATTCCACACCAGGTTGCAGAAAGGACACCACTTTGCACGGGCAGAGGGAGTTTCCTCACCAATGAAATCACAGGCCCAATGGTGGCTTGCTTATTTTCTCTAATCCAAAAGACATATTCCTTCAAGTCAGTGAGTTCCAAATAAGCAAACTCAAATTTTAGTGGGGAAAAAAGGCATCCCCTACACAGGATGTGAGCAGAGAGAAGGTGGGATTGAATTTTAGCTCTGACAGTCCTATGTATTTCTACTCTTCGCAGCATCCCCCTCAAGGACTGCTTTTACACCGCAGGCTCTCTGCTAAGCTCTCAATACTTCACAACCCTTTCCAAAGGTTCTCCACGAAGGGGAGGATGCTAGCAAGGGATGTGGATTCTGACAAGGCTCTGGCTTCCGGAGCAGACTCAAGAACCAAGCGGACACCCACGCAGGCAAGCAGAAACCATCCATCCTGGACACTGTTTCTTCTTCCTCTCCAGCTTCCAAAACTCAAACAGAGAAGCCCAACGAGGAAGGAAAAAAGACGAGACAGACAGCAGAGAAAGGGTTTGGGGTCATTAAGACGTCCAAGACCCCGAGAGATTTCGTTATTCAGGTTAAATTCTTGCCATTCTCCTTCAATGCCTCAAAGCCCAGAGAGATTAAATTCTATCCTTGGATCCTAGAACCACAGCTCTGAGCTGCAAGGGATGGAAGAGCCCACCAAGGCTACCCCCTTATCCTACAGATGAGAAAACTGAGGCACAGCCACAGTCGGATACATTGGTGCTCTTTGCCGCCCATCCTCAGCAACAAAAATGAAGGAGGAAAGCTGGTCCACACGGAACACTGTCCGGAAAAAAGGTCAAGTCCTCAGGAGAGCAGAGGGACTGATTTTAAATGGGCAAACGTCGGGTCTTGTAAACAAAGCTGCAGACGAAAAGGCCGGAGCGAGACCTTCCCACAGAAGCCGTCCCCCCACCGGAGTTCCTGCTGCTGATGGGAGACACTGGCATGAGGAGGAGTTCTAGCTCCTAATGTCATCTGATTTTCAGTCACAGCACCCAGACGGTGGATGCCTGTTCCTCTCCCTTCCAATAAGAAAAAGACGATTGCTCAGGCACAGCTGCCTCTGAAGGGCCAAAGGTCTGCAGAGAAGAAATCCCACTGTTCCTTCCCCAGGAATATTGGAAACAGGAATGAGAGGGCCTCTTTTCCTCCATGTTCTCTTTCTTCCATGGTCTCTCCTAATCTGAAACCAGGGCATCCCCATGGGGCTTTTCTGGTGTACAAAGCACACGCTCCACGACAGGCCTTGGAAGTCAGTGGCCTTCGCCAGCAAGGTTTCTGAGAGAGGGGGAGCCAGTAGCCGCTTAAGGAGAGGATGCATTCATGCCATAAACACTGACTGAGATCCCACTGAATGCCAGGAGGCTGGGGGAGAGGGGAGAGACACTGACAGAAAAACAAGGCCCAGTCCGTTCCCTAGACGAGTTTACAAGCTGGTGCTGTGGGTAAGACTGCGATGAAAGTCCTGAGGATGCTGGGCAGTCTCCAAACAAAGCAGCCTGATCCTTCAAGGGGAGGAGAGATCGGCGCAGGCCATGGGGCGCAGGTGGGGAAGGATCAGGGAAGACACTGCGAGGTGCAGGAGAGTGGGGAGATAAGGTGAGACATGCAGGCAGGGCCAGAGCCCAGAGCGCTCAGCACGAGGGCGGCCGAGGAGTTCGGCCGAACGTGGCGGGATGGGGACGGACTCCAACAGAGGCTAAATGGCTTGACGGGAGCAATGTTCTGGAGCTTTTGGTTAGATGGTGGCAGAGACCTATCTGAAAAGGGTCAGAGCCCAGGGGCGGGGCAGACTGGAGGCTTCTTCCAGGCAAAAGGCCACAAAAGCCTTTAGCTCAGGTGCCGGGGCTTAGCAGGGGAGGGATCACTCGGGCCGTGCCCCTCCCCAGTGTGGGTCCCTCGGCCCCCCCCCACCATGGGTCGCTCGGGCCGCCCGCCGTGGCTGCCATCCAGGGAGCCCCGTCCACGCCCAGGAGAAGCCTCTTGTCACCCACCTGTCCTTCCCACTTCCGTTCTTCAGGTTCACATCCGTCCCGTTACCGATCAGGATCTTCACTAGTCTGAGGAAGCAGAACACTTTGGTCAGCTTTGGTCTTCTCTGTGCCCACTTTTTAAAGAAACATGAAAGAAGTGCGGGGATGCGCTACCTCCGAGCTCACAGGGAGGAAAAGCCCTTCTTTGTAGAGAAGAATGATTTTTAAATTTCCAGCTGCCTCAAAGACTGGGCGTAGGGAAGCAAGGAAAGGCCTGAGGGCTCCCTGTTCAGTGGCGGCCCTCTCTACCACTTCGTGCTGCCATGCCCCGCCCAACCCACCAGGGCAGAAGCAGCTCACCACCCCCACACACACACACCCGGAGGAAGACCGTGAGAGCAAACTTACTGTATGTAGCCTTTCTGGGCAGCCACCATCAGGGCAGTAAAGCCAAGCTTATTTGGAACATCAACCTTAACATGGCTTCCAAAGAGAAAGGCAAGAAACGCATGAATAACCACATCACAGGCTCCTCAGCACACAAGCCCACTATCCCCGGCCTGGCTAGCAAGTGACTTAGGACCTCAATCCCTTCTCTGCAGTTGGATTCTTGTCATCTCAGCCTGCCTGGCCCAGGATTTATAAAGAAGCAAATTGTTTCTGACCTGAGATAGAAGCCCTTAATGGAGGAACTCTGTTTCCTGATGTCAGGTTTATGAGGAAGGTAAGTCAATATAATTTCACACTTAAACCCAGTCTCACCTTGGCTTCAAATTTTTTGGGGACTCGGGCTAACCACCAGGAAAGGGTCTACCCTTCTTAATTCAGCAGAATATAGAGTCACACAGGGCCTTTGGGGAGGACTCTTCCTGCCCCCAAAGACCAGGAGCTCTTCCCAGGCAGGGTCTCTCCTCCCCAGCCCACTACCCTTGAAGACCAGACCATTCGATGGCATGAACTGATGAGAAGATTAAGAGTGCTGCTCCCCAGCTGTTGAGATTTAGGGAAATGCTTTTCTGCTGTGGCTGAGAGAGGCCTACCCTCACATGTGACTCATCGTCTAAGTCTCTCAGCTCTATGGATTCCAAAAGACTTTAGATCCTGTAATCCATTTAGAAGTCTCGCTGGAGCTTTGTAGGAGTCCATCCACAGAAATCACTCTCACCTCTCTGGGTGACTCTTTGGGGCCATCACGCCTTCTTTTGGAAGTGGGTTTATTTCAGAGGAATTTCCCATTTGCATAGCGATTTATTGTTATGCTTTGGCCTAATCTGAACCTCCCCCTTTCACCCAAACTCAGTTTAGAAGCCTCTCGACAAAGGTTTTAGGGCCTCTAGAGAATCACAAAAGCTGACCTCAGGCAGTTTCTTTATTTCCTGGCTTCGGGAAGAACATTTAAATGAGACTTGGGGGGAAAAAGACTCTAAGATGGTTCTCTCACCCTCCTTGAAGTATCTGGACAAGTAGGTCTTCATCATTCACATTTACAGCTCGATGGAAATGCTCACTACTTATGGGCTCCCCTGAAGGAATCAGACAGCAGACAGTCAACCCCAAGGACAGGACAGCGCACTCAGTCACAGTCCTTCAGTGGCTCTGAGCCAGCGAGGTCACTGACCCCCTAATGCCTGCATTGGGGATCCAGTGAGCATCACTGCATTAAACCAGAGCTGTTTTCAACGGGAAAAGGGCCAGCAATCAGAGGCCTCATTTTGGCAACATCCTTCAGGAGAAAGAGATTTGGTTTGAACTAAATGATTTGGGAAATACTATGTGGTGGGTGGAATGAAGAGGTTGGAAAATCATCCTTTCCTATTTCACAATATGGAACTCACAGCTTAAAACTTGAAAAGTGTCTCTTATGAGCAACAAAGTATTTGGTGATAGTCACAATATGTGTGACTTTATTTGCCAAGGAGCCAGGAGCAGACTTTAAAAACAACCAAGGACCATAGGGCGTCCCTCTGAAGTGGGAAGTGATCATTCTTTGAGGGATTCGGACTTTCTTCTTCCCCGTGCCCTTTCTGAAATGTGCAGGAAAATAGCCAGCCTTTGGGAGAACAAACCCAGTTATTCTGAAAGGTAGAACAGAACAAGGAAAATTGAAGGAAATATGCCAAATGAAGAGAAGGAGGTGTCCAAGCCCAAGAGATGCTAAGAGGGCAGAAACTGCACAGGGAAGAGAGTCACATAACACTAAGTAATATACATTCAGTAAAAAGAGGGAGAAGGGGCTGGAGAGGTGGCTGGCTCCTGGCTATCTCTGGGGCATATTTCTCCTCTCCCTTGACTCGGCACTCCATCTCATTTGTCTTCTCCTCCCTTTCCTGTGGAAATGACCAGATGCTTCGGTTAGTTAGAACATGGATCAGGCCACTGCTTCAGACTGCAGACCAGTCCCAAGCTGCCATCATACTCCCACAATGCACCTCTGGCCACCTACCTGTAAGTGTGGGTGACCCGGCACTAGAGGGTCCCTCAAAGCATGTGTTCTGCTGGTCAGAGTGTGAGTCACTAGTGCTGTCCTAGACACCAGACGACAGCCCGTTAAACAATAGGAAATGCGGCTGAGGAAAACCGGGAACATGCTTATCAGCATGGCCTGACACAATCATGGATCCCAGTGTTTTCATAGCAACACAGCAGGTCTCTTCCAAAGCCAAGAGACTGGTACCAAAGCAAAACCTTCACTGACTCTAGTGACCCCCAGCCTCACTCCAATGGCATCACACACACACATGTACATTCACACATGTGCATACACATGCATGTATTCACACACACTCGTGCATTCACATGCACTCACATACATGCATGCACACACATGCACACAAGCACACACACCTGAAGCCCACACGCTGATCCTACCTGCATGGACACAGGCGGCCTTCGGCTTTTAGCAAGTTCTCCAGGAGGCCGCTGTGGAGCTCAGCCATGCCCTGCCTCCAGACACGGAGCAAACACCAGTGGGCTGGAAGTCTGGAGCTGATAATTAGCTACATAACCTTGGACACACCAAGCAACATCCATGAGCCTCATTTTCCACATCTGTAAAGTGCAACTAAAACATCTGTGCTTCTAAACTCCCAAAGGGAGAAGCCTCAGAGTCACTCCATCATGGCGGGGCTGCTTTCCTCCCCCTAGCTGACCGCCTGCATTCACTAAATTATCTGCTTCACTAGAAGGCAAACAGCCCCCACTTTGTTTTGGGCCTGTCTCCAGCTGTGGTTTGCTCTCAGTGGCTTCTCAAAGCAGCTTTATTGGTACAAAGACAGACGTGCAGATCAGAAAGTGCATGAGAAGCTGGCCCAAGCAAGCATCATCCCAGAATGCAATTTCTTTTTCTGGCAAAAGGTGAAATCGTTTCAAAAGAACTCCAGTTCACCTGCACCATCCTCCACGACACACAAGACTTGCATTTTATCACCCACATCCTTTGCTTTGACTCTTTTGTTCTAAAAATAACACAACAAAAGTCAAACAGCCAAATCCCATGGCTGCCCACAACTGCTCAACCACCCCACAGCAACAGGAATCTTAAAACGATCTCTCTTCCAATCTCACCACCCTTGAGGTGCCCACCGAAAACACTCCCACTGACCTTTCCAGTCATGTGAGAGGAGAAGCCAGGGCAATGAGGGTAGCTACAAAGAAATCATCAGCCCCCCACCACCCAAGATGCCCCAGGGCCCTGTGTGTATAGAATCAAATCTGATACCTTGCATAGCACTGTGTTCCAATTAAAACTGTCAAATGTGAAATCCAAAGAAATGCCAGTCAACTGCTGAAATACACTTCCAACTCATGTTAAGCAACATTTCAAATAGATTTCAAATTGACATTTGAAATATATTAGAAATTCTCACTGACTTTTTTTTTAGTTATTAGAGTGCTGTAGAGTGGAAGATAATAGATATTGGTGTTCCGTCGGTATTTAAACTAGGCCTAAGCTTTAAGGCTGGCCAAAGCTAGTAGCTGCCTATTAGCCATATTCAAAGGAATTTATCCTCTGAAATTATTTAAAAAATTTTCCATCTGTATATTTAAATGTTTAGCATCCTGAGAGACCAACTAGCAATTATAAACAAATGCAATTTTCAAGTTTTAGAATTATTTTAAAGCACGATGTGCAGATGGACACTGGAAAATCCCATCTTAGATGGGATGATCTCCAGCTCATGATTTCTGTTGTCCTTCCTTGCTCACATGCCCCACTCTTGGACCACACTTCCTGCCTGTCACCAGCCCAAGTCACCATCATCCATCTCACCTAGAGACCGGGATTTTCTCGGGTGTGTACTTCCTAGTTCATCCCGAACCAGAAAGCAGTACTGCATACAGATAGTGGGACATTAAGCAAGCTGACTTCACATGACTAAACCACAACAAAGACCAAAGCTTTTTACCGATAGGCTTTGAATTAATATTTTGCTTACCGCTCTCTTCCTGCAGCAGGAAATGAGAGGTCTTCCAAGGTCTCTAAGACAACAAAGTGGGTGCCCTCAGGGAGCAGGAGTCTGTCAATTCCTCCATGGCATCCAAGTCTCAGTCAATACCTACAACATGCATCCCTCAGGGATCTGAAAGCCCCTTCCCAGCCTTCATGCATGAATCCCCACCCTGCTGGTGGCAGGGCAGAAATTCTGGCCTAGGAGACACAGAATGGTGCCAGGGTTGGCCTGGGATTGGCAAACCAAGAAAAAGAAGCCAGGACTCCAGACTTTCCAACCATGGTTCCATAGTCGCTGCCTCCCATATCTACTGCTAGGAAGATGTGGCCAAAAACAGAGGGCAGAGGAGAATTGCCAAGGTGGACAGGATGTCCCAATTCTGTTCACCAACTCATGATTTAGGGGGATGAGAATGGAAGGAAACTTCCCCACAGATGGTCCAAAGAGCTGCCACCAGGGCCAAGCTAGCCCTCCATTTTTATTCTGGTTGGTCCGTGGTTTCCAGGACCATACAGTGAGCTGTCCCTTGCCATGAGGAGTACCCACAGGCACTGGAGTGCATCTGACCTGGGTTGGACCCAAAGACAGAGGACAGCCACCAAAGTGCAGGGAATGATCAGAGTGGGCCTTTGAAATCAATCCTTCCTGGGCTGGACAAGAGCCACTCAGTGGCAGGTGTGCAGGCAGAGCCTCAAAATCAGTGATGACACCTTTATTTGGGTGCTCTAAAGTTCCCTTAAAAGCAGTGACTAAGTGACTAGCACACTGGAAAAGATATTTGCCATGAGCCAACGGCAGCTTTTTTTCTTTCTTTCTAAGGGGGAGGGATTGATTAAAATTGCATGCTTCATTTAAGCAAGAGTCTCCTGTCCTTTACCCACAAAAAGAGGCAGGACCCCCTTTACTCAAACAAAGAATATGCTCTCTGATCCACTGAAACACCTTCCAAATGAAGACAAATTATTGTCCCACAGAGGCATTTTCCATTCTGGCGTGTACCCAGCGTGTACTTTTAAAACCTTCAATATACCAGAAAGAAGCTCCCTTGCTGGGGGCGCTGCTGGTTTCAGGGTGATGAGCACAGTAACAATCAATGATAACGGCCCTACACAAAGAGAAGAGCCTGACCCTGAGAGGGATGCTCCCCACAGCCCGGCTATTCGCCATCCAACTGTCCATCTGGTCCAGGCTGGGCAGTATCCAGGGACAAGAAGCGTCACTTCAGGAAACACAGTCAACTCTCCTCCTCACTCTGTCCTGGTCCCCAGCCCCGCCTAGTCATCCACAGCAGAATCAGATTGGCCTGGGATACTCACTGGGGATGATTTGGCAGGGTTCCTAAGGAAGCAGGAGATCACGGCCAAAGGTCAGAGCCGTAAAAGCAAATCTGCCTGAAGAGAGAGAGAAGGACAAGAGTGTCTGACTGTCCTGAAGAACCACCATGGCACAGTCGGCCATTCATCTACTTCATGCCGTCTCTGCCCGTCCCCACCAGAGTACTACCCACAGAGCCATGCTCCCTGTGTCTGGACAACTCCAGGCCAGCCTTATGGGCTGGTGTCCATTTCGGTCACATCTTATAGACCCAGTATGCTGATTTCTGAGCCAAGGGCTAGGGACCTCAAAAACAAACTTCTGTAGCTTAAAGAAGGGGTTTCTCTAGGACTTCTGCAAGGACATTTACTTTCTAAAAGAAAGAATATGTTTGCCATCTATTCTGACTCCTACCCTGCTCCAGACACTCAACTCCTACAAACAATTCACAAATGTACAGGCCTGTCTTCCCTCCAATGTATTACTAATGTACCATTAGGAATTTTTAAAAGGTTTAAACACATCGAGACAAAGAAATATATATCCAACTTCTCAAAATAGCTATTTTTCCTTAGATGAAGAAGAAATCCTCAACTGATGCCCTCTGTTGGACATTATCTTTCCCTCCTTTGTCCTTGAATCCTATTTTTTGCACTTACAATGCAAATTTGTTTTGTATTGTAGCCATGCATGCATATCTTCTATTGGATAATGTCTTAGCTTCATAGGTTCCGCCAGAAACCAGCACAGTTCTCTAC